ATAAAATTTTTTGGTCCCGACAATATCCTGACTCTATAAATATCCTTTCCACGCGCCTCTACAGTCTCTTCAAATTTAACACATAGGTTCTGACACCTGACACAGATATCCTTGTATATGATTATATATATTGTTGTAAATTATTATTCTGAACAATTAACAACTCTTCTTTACAGCCATCATAAACTGTTCATACAGTCATCATGATTATCTCAGGCGCCAGGTCTAAACTTAAAAGGGAGTTTTATGGTCGCTCTTCATAAATGTGTCCAACTACCTCTAGAAATCGAAGGAAGCGTTTCTACCCACATGTTCGTAGTAACAACGATGCCGGGAGCTCTTGCGCTAGTTATCTAGAATTTTGGGTCGTTGACCAAGAACCTTGCTTGCTGTTTGGTATTCTCTCCGACAAGTTCAAAGTGACTCGTTAGCTGTTTCGAGGAAAATTTATTTGTGAAGTTTTTGCGGAGTTTGTACATAAGTGCAGAGATTTATTTATTTGTGAAGTTTTTGCGGAGTTTGTACATAAGTGCAGAGATTTATTTTATTTGTGAAGTTTTTGTGGAGTTTGTACATAAGTGCAGCGATTTAGTTTAGCTGTGAAGTTTTAGCGGAAAAAATTATTTGTTAAGTTTTAACGGAGGTTACTCATCTGTACTCGTAAGTGCTGAACAAGTTTTATCATGAACTGCTCTACTTTATCATATTTTATTAATCGAAATATTACCGAGCTCGTATGTTTATTTCCGGACTTAATGCGCAGTTATTATTAAGTGTTAAAGAGTTAGCTCGAAGAATGCGTACTTATAGTGAGTCTTGTGCAAGCAGAACTGGCATACATATCGGGCCAAATACTTCATACTTCTGCATGAATGCCCTGACCCTTTACCTCGGCATGTATTTGCATGCATCATGAGTAATTTTATATACAATCGTAGGAGAAGATAGTGAAATAAATTTAACGTTTAAAAATTATTTAAACGGGAAGTGGCGTGAAATTAAACTTGATGATTTACAATCTTGAATTCTTGGATTGGATAGGACGGTTAGCGAAATACCATGAGTAAGAGCAATGCTTGATAGAAGCATCATGAGAAATCATAGCGGCAAATCAGGCAGTAATACGGAGCAGTTAATACAAAGCAGGTAATACGGAGCAGTTAACACGGAGCAGGTAATACGGAGCAGTCAATACGGAGCAGTTAATACGGAGCCGTTAATACGGAGCAGTTAATTAATACGGAGCCGTTAATACGGAGCAGTTGCGTCGCCACAAGCTACACACCAGGCTTACGGTTCACACTGCGAAGAATGGGATAACCTGAATGAATTGAACATTGAAGAAATGGTGAATCACTAAATTTTTTAAGGCCGGTAAATCAAGTGAGATTATAGTAAACGAAATTAATTCACCTGAGCTTAGATTGTCACTCAGTGTGCTAACGCACTTTTCGGAAAGAACGAATTTGAGAAAAAATCAGTAGAAAGTGACGGAAATAAGTAAAAAATTTAAAGATTGGTTCCTTGAAGTAAGATTAAAGTTGAAGGGATTTGGGGTAAACTTTAAAATGGAGCTCGAATTGGTGTAATGAAATAACGCAAATATAACTGGTTTAATTGAATTTATTTGGAAGCAACTGTTCGTTCTCCGAGCGTGCAAGGTAATCTCGAAGGTGAAGTTCGAATTCAGCGCTGAAATGTAGAATGAACGGCGTAACCCGTAAGAAATGATATGAGCTGATAAAAATCATAAATTAACAAATCTCACCACACTCACATCTTTCAACATATTTGACCACACTCACATCCTTCAACGTATTTGACCACACTCACAATCTTCAACGTATCTGACCATACTCGCAATCTTCAACGTATTTGACCACTCTCACATCTTTCAACGTATTTGACCACACTCACATCCTTCAACGTATTTGACCACACTCACAACCTTCAACGAATCTGACCACACTCACATCCTTCAACGTATTTGACCACACTCACATCCTTCAACGAATCTGACCACACTCACATCCTTCAACGTATTTGACCACACTCGCAATCTTCAACGTATTTGACCACTCTCAAATCCTTCAACATAGTTGACCACACTCACAACCTTCAACGTATTTGACCACACTCACATCTTTTAACATAGTTGACCACACTCACAACTTTCAACGTATTTGATCACACTCACATCCTTCAACGTATTTGATCACACTCACATCCTTCAACGTATCTGACCACACTCACATCCTTCAACGTATCTGACCACACTCGCAATCTTCAACGTATTTGACCACTCTCAAATCCTTCAACATAGTTGACCACACTCACAACCTTCAACGTATCTGACCACATTCTCAAACTCATGTCTGACAGACAGACACACAACCTCCACCGTATATGACCAACGTATCGAGCGCTTCATCTATGCGCTCAAATTTTCTTACTGTGTCTAACATTGCCTAACATTTTAAGACGCAAACGACCAGATTTAATTTTTTCACATAATAATCTATGGACTCGGCGAATGTTAAAATATTTTCGATGCTTATCTTATAATTCGGGAATACCTTCTTTCCAGATATGAGTTTTGAAGCATATATTGTGAGAAATACTTTCCAAATACATTCACCTTAGTAACTAGCGTTAAATTTTCACGCATGAAGTTGTTTTGGCCATGTCATGCAGTTAAAAATTTTCAGGCATACCCCACCATCCAATTTGGATCTTAAAACCACGAGAATTCCCATTTTTATCTAAATTTATCATAGCAGGCCAATAATGAAGTCGAGTTAGTCGCGAATTTGATTTTAATGCTGCAAAGTTATATTTTCTCTGGTTGTTTACAAAACCAATTTCTCCTGAAACCAGCTACCACCTTGTAATGTTTATTTTTTCGAAACAAGAGTAAGCACAAAACAAAGCATCTATTCTCTAACGTGACTCTTAAAATGATAACATCAGTTGCAGACGCCATTAACATCATTTATCAGACTGAACGAAAGCTGTCATTTTGTTAGCTTGCATGCACTTGGACCAACAAGCCAGAGGCTCGTAAAATAAAAAGTCTTTCTGCGACGACGCAGCTAAGCATGTCAGTCCGACTGCTTCATTTATAATTATGCAATAGAATGTACACATCATTTATCAGGCCTCAAGATTTATCGACTGCTATCATTTTGTTAGCTTGAATGCACATGGACCATCACGTCTGAGGCTCGTAAAATTGAACATCGCTCCGCGACAACGCAGCTAAGCATGTCAAGTCCTTCTGCATTACATATCATTCTACGATATAAAAATATAACTCAGTACTCCTGCAGTGACAGAGCGCGCATTTTCTCGTCGACGAGAACGTGAAGTCAGGGACGGACAGACAGACAGACGGACGGACTTGGCGAGCACAATAGCGCCTTTTTTCCATAAATGAGAAAAAAGATCCTGGAATTCAATGCGTCGTATTTTCGTCCCCGCAGACGCTTCGGCTGAGGCGCTCATACTGTACGGCTATAATGAAATATGTGGTGAGAATTTAGAGATTAAATTTCGCGTACAGTCACGGAAAAATCCTTGATCTATATCATGACATTCTGTCCTTCAGATTCAAGCTTTGTATATTTAGAGACAACAAAATTGATGATGATTCTGCTCGCATGTGTGCACAAGAACCAACACCAGGGGCCACGGCTATAAGCTAAAAAAACTGCACTGCAACTTCTCCCCGCGACAAAATTTCTTCTCGCTTCGAATCACCGACATGTGGAACAGCCTCCCCAATAACATCGTTGGCGCTCCAAGTATGAACGCGTTCAAGAACAGACTAGATAAAGCTATGGAAAAATATATGTTCAGATTTGAAATGCCTAGCACCATATCGAACCCGGTGAAAGTCTAGTAGCTACTTGAAACAATCGTCAGTCATGAAAAGATCCGGTCAAATGAAACGATATTAGATCTTCTGTAAACAAGGCACGAAAAGGAAAAGAATCGGCGACAGGCCACATCAGGCCTACACTTCAGCGCCGAGATCAATATGTTATGTTATGTTATGACGAGACAATATTTGGTACATATAATTCTCTCAACAAATAAAATTTAGGCAGTGTTTATTAGTTATTGTCAGAAAAATTATTTAGGTGAATTCATGCATCAGATGAGCATAAGATGTAATTATACTCAAGTCGAAAGTGAGAGCCATGATGTTTTTCAAGGGCTTAACGAGTCATTGTCGACCGACACGTGACCGCACGGAAGTATGGGATGATGACGCAAATGATGATCGTGGTGACGTGCAAATGATGACAAATGATGCCTGGTGAAAGTGGATAGAGATTTTTCATCAGAATGCAGCTTATTATATGAACAAATTCAGTCAATGAATTTTCAATTCACCTATTGTCATCGCAGCTTCTGTTAATGAATGAGGAATGTTAAAAAACTTGCACCTCTGCACGTGCAGTATATATATTAGCCACTTTACAAATTATTACCAATGCATAACTTAATTATAGTATTTAATAATTTGAAACATGTCGTTTTAGTAAAAGATGTGTTAGTACCGAGCACCGGAACTGTAATGTGACTAAAAAAGTAATTATATTCGAATAATTCATTCATTGCAATTATTTTTGACACAGTGCATATCATTCGCCTTTACAGTGGTCCAATTAAATACCATCTGAGTGAAATTGAGTTCAAAAATAAATAGCTATAATATATATTTTGCCCAAAGAAAATGAATCATCGAAAAATATTAAGTCATTTGCTGGAACACAAGTTTTCAAAATCATATGAATAGACAACATTCTGTCCTTCAGATTCAAGCTTTGTATATTTAGAGACAACAAAATTGATGATGATTCTTCTCGCATGTGTGCACAATCCATCATTAATAACAGCCTCTGAGTGCGCATATCTTAGCATCTGTACCAACAAATCCAAAGCCTATAATATAGCCAGAATGCATCAGGATCAAGCAGTATTTGCCTGCCTACACACGACCTGCCTTCGCACCGCTGCCAAGACCACAAAGAAAAGATGACGCGAGCTCTGATGCTTCTGATCGCCGCCGCCGTTGCCTCGTCCGCGGCGTAATTAAGTGCTTTGCTTGCAAGTCAAACGATGATGTGATATTGACGAGATTTTAGAACGTATAATTGTCAATTATTCAAATTGGTCGTGATATTTTTGATTGTTTTATATTTGATTGAAATTAACGATTCAACTAAAGGAGCGGGATTGGACCGATTGAAGGAACGATGAACGAATGATTTAACTTTTGAATAATAAATTATGATTTTGTAACTTCGATCTAGCGCGAACAGCATTTAATAAACAAAACAGCATTTAATGTAGATTGTATTATTACTTCTCATTTCTAAAATATTTCAGCTTTGAATTTTTTGTTCATAATGATTAAATGGGTGAAATTTACCTGGTGCAAATCTTGTGGCTGCAAAAGTGTGGCAGGAAGGTACTTTTTGAATCAAATGAGGCGTTGCTGGTCATTGACTTTTTTTGGTGGAGTGTAAATAAAAGATAAATTTCGCTTTAGATAACTTTGTAATCTAAAGCGAATGAGAGACATTGTTGTGAGATGTATGTATTATAAAGGAAAAAAGTGTAAAATGAATGAAGAAAAAGAAGAAGGGGGGGTGAGGTGGTGAATAACTGGTTTTGAAATATAATATCGTGTATATTTAACGAAATTTAGTCAAGCGTTCGATGGAGGCACCTGCTAATTTTGTACACTAAATTGATTATTATGTTATTTTTACAGAGGTGAATCCCCTTGTAAAATAGCGTTCAAGGCGGGTGTGCAGTTAGTAGTGGCTGCAACCAAAACTTGCTATCTGCAGCACCAAACGGAGTATGTGAAGTTTTCAAGTGAGTGTAATAAGAGTTATTTTGCTTCAATTCATTCCTATTGCTATTCACATAATTTCAAGCTTAAATTGATCGATTTGGGTCTAAGCTCAACAACAAATATTTTTATCTAATATGTGAGGCAAACCCCGTCGGCTGCGTGGGAGTTGGTTGACGACATATCGAAATTTACATCTTTTGATTTATTTACTTTTCGTCAACGGATACAGAAAGACTCAATATTTTCATTGAGCTAATTTTATTAACATGTTAAGCATTTTGAGCAAGCCTATACGATTGGGAACTCGTTCCCCGATTACATCGACAGATGTAATCTGGGAATTACATATTCAATTACGAATGTAATCGAATTGTGTACTTTTCTATAGGCGTTTGCAGCTAACTAAGATGGATAAGTTTGAATTCCGTTTTCTCGACTTGAACTTTTAGTTTCCCAAACAGTATGTATTGCTGGAGACGTTCAACAGGTACTTCATACACGATGAATTGATCGTGTAATGATCATACACGATGAATTGATCACTCTAAATGACGAATTGATAGGCGTCAGTGGAGCTCAAGATTTATTTTCCTCAATTTTAAACTTACTGATGATTTGTGCTCGTCAGTTTTGCCTTGAAAGATCTTTTTTCAGATTCAGCCTTTGCTTTTTCATCATTGTGTAGATGGTAGTAATACCAAACCCATCGAATACATTTTTTCCCCAACAGCTACATGCCCCGGCATCAACGCAACTTTGCCTACGGTGAACGATGCAGCAAGATGTGATCCAATTCTGTTCAATTTTTCTAAGTGTTTGTTGCAATCAGCCAAGCTCGTGAGTATTTCAGTATACTGGTGCACTAAGCTCATTGTGCAATTACTTGAGTATTTGTATGAACAATTTCGCTTATGTGCTAATTAAGGACCCAATCTGCATTTTTGCAATGAGTTTATTCCCGCTTGTTGCCTGCTGAATTGATATGTGTAGCGTTTTCTTAAGCATTAGCAGTGGCCAGTGAACAGCAATGGGATACTATACATCTAGTTTAGTTTGTGGAGCATTACTCCTTACAATACGAGTTTTCTTGTTGCATGAGGAATAATAATATACGTTTAAAAATTACTTTTTAAAGACAACACTTCCAAAGAATCCAGTGTATCCAATCTTACAGATGTACAATGAATTTCTCATTTAATTTTCGAATATTACAAAAATTAATTTTTCAATTTTTTTAATATATAACTTTTTTTAATATAAAATTTTTTAAAAATTATTTATTCTGTTAATTGATTCATGCATTGCCTCCAACTTCACACAACTATGCAAAATTTCAGATCAATTAGACAGGTAAAAGTGTGTCATAGACTGCTGTCATGTCATGTCATGTTGGGGAAAAGATTTGTAGCTGACAAGATTATTTTTTCAATTTTTTTAATAATGAAAAATTTTTTGTTTTTAATTTTTAAAATCATTTGTTTTGTCATTTGATTCATGCATTGTCTCCAACTTTACACAAGTGTGCAAATTTTCAGATCGATAGGATAAGTAGAAGTTTATTAAATTTTGTAACAAGATTTGTAGCAGACAAACAAACAAACAAATAACAAGAAGTGAAGTTAAAGAGAAGTGTTGTAAAAATGTTTCAAAATCTCCTGATCTAGGGAGCCCGCAATTTTGAGTCTCTCAAATTTCATCCCTCGAAATATTTATTCCATGCTTATTTCTCAACAGCTGAAACCCGACAACACATTTGACGATGTGGCTTTCCAGACGATTGCGCTGAAGAACCAATGTAGCACTGATACCAACTTCTCAAAGGTTTACTCGAACTGCAAAACCGCCGCCATGAAATATTTGAACGTGAGTCATAAAAAATGTTTTTATTCTATTAGCAAACCAGCTCAACATGTTTTTTGTTTTAAATGTCAAAAACAATAATAAAAATACAGAAATTAGCTTAAGTCTCCGTTAAGCCGTGGTCGGGAGCGGACGCTCGTGCTCGTGGTCCCAAATTTCTAAATTTTTAACTTTTTACTGTGCCGTTTTCGGAACTCTTTTCGCATTTTTTTATGATCCGTGCCAGAGAATAACCGAATTTCAGTTCAGTTCAGTGAAGTCAGTAAAAGTGAGTGCAAATAGAATGAACAAGCCTTTACGGAGCAGGCAATAAGTCCAGCAGCTATCTCAATCAATCGTCAGTTATGGAAAGATCGGGTTCCAAAGGCCGGATCCCTTGTGAATCAAGTCACGAAAAGTTCGAGAATCGGCAACAGGCCATGGGCCTATGTCTTCAACGCCGACACTTCTATTCTATTCTATCACGAGAGATAATTCAAGCAGTGCAATAAATCATGATTCATATGAATAAATCATGATTCATATGAATAAATCCAGTATTAAACGTATGTGACTCTAAAAATTCATGATTTAAATTTTACTTTGCGGGTACTCCAGTTCTTAACGTGCATCATTGCAGCGATGCCCTAATTGAGGCAGCGCTGATCACCCAATGATCACCCAATGGAGGAGAATCCACTGACTGGGAACAAGACTGACTGAACTCGCCCTTCCCTGACAAGTTTAGAGTCGCCCCAGTTTCTGGTAATCCAAATCAGAAGCGGTCGCGTCTGTAAATTTTCACTGGGTTACTCTTAGCACGGGATTTTCTTATCCTATATTAAATTTGATGGTGTTTCTTCAATAATGTAGTTATTTACCTCAGAAAAGCTTTGAGAATATCATCAATGCAAAATATTTTGCTGAAATCAAGTTATTCGCACTGCGTTATTTAGACAGCAAATTTAGAATGGTACAGAGGCGAAATTCGAATAATTTAAACCCCTGCCATGTTGATAATATCATCAATAGATTAGATAATATTTGTGATGAACTAAACACAGAAATGGACGTAACCAGTTGCATCACCTCTTAAGTACGGATAGGTCCTATCGTCACCCTCACCAGAAGTCCGGATGGAAGTAGTACCATCGCTACAATTCAAGGAATACTTAGGATGAAGCGGGATATTGAATGAAGGCAGTAAATTTACATGCAGTATATTTACAACGGCTGAAGGCAGTATATTTACAACGCGGATAACTATTAATTATTATGGCAAAATGGACTGTAGACAAATTACAAGTCTTTGACATTTTCATGCGAGAGAAAGCTATAGTTGGGAACGAGATTACTTGCTGACACTGTGGGAATGAGTGTAGCGATTGTCCAAGCGCTTGTCACAGCAGTAAAACAGACAGTAATAGGAAAAATATAGACCCATAAAGTCATTCAAGGCTTCCCGCCAATTCTGGCGGGAGCACGAAATTTATGGAATCGATTTCTTCAACAAGTACTAAGTAATACTTCAACACGTAAGTTGTAGCGCGGGAGTGGACAAGTTAACTATAACTTTATTCGCTGACGGTCCATACTAGAAAAAGGTTACAAAGTTCGGATTAAAGGACCTTGCACCATTTAATGAATAAAAATATAAATGAACACATAAATCCATGGGAAATCATTTAATTGCAACTTCCTACTACACTGTTCACCGAGTGGGAGAGACGGGCGTTCAAATGGACGACGAAGTCCATGCGACGTACAGCGCCGGCCGGGAGCGGGCTATTCGCTTCAGAATATGGTGGCGAATACGCATGGAGAATACGCATGGGCTATTCGCTTCAGAATATGGTGGAAGCTCCTAATATTTAAAGCTAGATATAATGTCACGGGCTGGTTACCGACGGATGGCTTAATCCCACACTCTCCATTCCAACAAAAAAAAAAGAATTGATTTTATTAATTAAAAACAGGGAATGGTTTCATGTCAATGATCAGGGCCCCGACCTTAACGCCTCTGATGGTGGCCTACACCGAGGGTCACTGAGCTGTGACGCGAGCGAGGAGCGGGCCCACGTCGAACTTTTCTCTGACTTCAAGCCACTCTCTCTCTTCGCCGCCGCAAGTAGACGAGCCCTGGATATTTGGTCCGCCGCCTCCAAAAGCCGCGCCGCAGAGGCCGCGGCCACAGGCCCATCCCAAGTCCTCTGCCGGCCCAAACTCGCGTCCTCGGGCAATTTCCACGGCTGATTGGTGGTCATCCGGAAATATGCTAGGCGTTCCTTTCAAGGCTGATTGGTGCACAAATTTGGTGGTGCACGGCTGCATACCGAGGCTGGTTCTCTAGTTCCGTTTGCCACCTGTCACACCCGTTTATGGCCGACGAAAGAGATAATAGAATCAATGGCGTTTGAATGAATCAATTTCGTTTTCGAATGAATCAATAAATTTTATCTAATCAAAGTCTGAATGAATCAATGAGTGAAACAATGGCGTACAGCAGCGTCGGAGGTGAATCTAAGAGCATTTTTTGACAGACCATCACACTATTACCGGGTCCTGCCACGCTTGTTTAGAGTGGGCGGATCAGTCTAGAGTGAACCGAAAAAAGCCCATGTCCAAATTCAGCTTAGAGTAATGCGTTGGAATGAGGAAAAAGCGCGACCGTCTTTTGGCAGAAAGACGGGCCGCTATATAATGTCTTCACTAATAAAATTAGTATAGTATATACAATGAATAATTGTTTCTTAATTAGAAACTTGAACACGTGCGGAAATTTCCTCAATTAATTTCAAAATCGTTTAACACTAATATTTCTACTCCATATTAATGATTGGATATGAATTCATATCAGCTTGTCGGGGTTCGCACGTGAATTTGAACAAGTTATGTTATGTTCAGCAAGTTATGTTAGACCTAAACATTTTTTACGTTATGAGTTGAGTGCGGCAATAGGCACAATAGGCATTTGTGCCCTTTCCCTTTACCTTGTAACTCTTGCCCCTCCCTCGCACCTTCATCTCCATATTGTCACTGCGCGTGCAGTGATACGAGTTTTCACGTCAATAGTCAATATTATTGATACACGTACAACAACCTATAGGTGGGAAAATCAACATAATAAAATCATATACCTGCAATTATATAATCATACACAATGTATTGTTGCAAATTAATTCGAATTATTATATGAATGTTTACAGGAGTTGACAGAAAGTTGCTTTTCAGAGGACCATAGTCGAACAAATGGTGTCTAATGCGTTCGGTTGAAGTTGGTCGGATATATTTATAAGCAGTAAATTAATTGTTGAAGTGGTAACGGATGAAGTATAACGAATTATTAATCAATTTTATTTATAATTCATGATCATGGTGTTATGTTATAATGATGTTATAACATCATGCTTATGATCCATGTCATTTATTTTACAATGGTTCATTTTATAAAGGAATGACTTGTGTAATGAATCGTGCAACTGATGCAAGTAGCTATATAGGACCATGAGCAAACAAATGATAATTTTTAATTTAAATTCTTTCTATAAGCATATTTAGTTTTTAGCGGAGAAAACACATGACTCGTATGACAGCTGTGAATATATTCAAATGCTGTTGAAGATACATGATAAGATGTATTGCAAGTAAAATATTTTTAGATGCACGGCGGTTTTCAGAAGTGGCTTTATGCCTACTAGTGGCGATTTAAATTAATGTTAGGTTAACTTAGATCGGCCCAACCTCAAGAAGGTTGTAGTTAGTGAGAGAGCTAGTTGACGCTCTTGATTGAAACTTAAGACAAGATAGTGAACCGACTTAAGACGAAATAGTGAACTGATTTAAAACGAGATAGTGAACCGGCTTAAGATAGTAAATCGCTTTACGGGTACGTACACAGTGAGAGCAGGTTTGTCCACGCGGGCAACCTGCTCCAACCTGCCACAAGAATGAACATAGGATAATAATGTACTGTTCACGGTGAAAACCTGTACGAATAGGCTTTTGCCGACAACCTGCTTATACCTATTTACCGGAATGCACTGCACATTCTTATCTGCTCCACCTGCTTGGCATATGGTCATTTTTTTGAATTAGTTGTATCTTTAAACGCTCCATTTTCTTTGTTTTTTTAATGAATTATTTCGTACCTCAGATGAGCCTATTGTGAAAACATGGTTACACTAATAAAATACATTAATAAAAATACACCAATAAAATACACTAATAAAATACACCAACGAAATACACTAGTAAAATACACTAATAAAATATACTAATAAAATACACTTATAAAGTACACCAATTAAGTTCACTAATAAAGTACAATAATAAAATACACTAACAAAATACACTAGTAAAATACACTAATAAAATATACTAATAAAATACACTTATAAAGTACACCAATTAAGTTCACTAATAAAGTACACTAATAGAATAGACTAATAATACACTTCCTCACCCAGAGCACTGATTAGGTCGCAGCTGGTTTCCTGCTTTCTCTGTGAACACCCACTAGCGCTTGTTTCAGGCGCCAGCCTCAGCAGGTAACCACTAACCAGCACGCTGGAACCTGCTTTCACTGTGTACGTACCCTAAGGCGAGATAGTGAACCGAGTATTCACATCGCGATCGACTGAATAGAAGGTGGCACACGTATCAGGCAATAGCCTTGTGGCAAGATTTGCAATGATTAACTAAGCGCGCCTATAAGCTATAATATATGTTGGGCCGGAACAAGAGGCGAAATTGCATACATTAAGTAGTTATTAAGGGCAATTTACATGCGAAAATTCAACAGGGCTATCGGAAAGCTATCACAAAAAAAGAAAAGGTCGACACCAATGCATTCTATGTCACCAACTTCCAACCCCTCCTTTCACGCGCCTAGTTCTTAATGTCAACTTTAAACTACGCATAATCTATGTGGTCGCTACTACAAGAACATGGAAAAAATTTTTATATCGGGGCCGCATCCACTTTTAGTTAAATAATATGCGTTTAAAAATTAATTTTTAAAGACAACACTTCTCAACAATCAAGTGTCTTGGATGTTACACATGTACAATTAATTTCTAATTTTATTTTCAAATATTTAAAAGAAAAATTATTTTTCAAAAATTTTTTATGATATCAAAAATTTTGTAAATTTTCAAAATTATTTATTCTGTCAATTGATTCATGCATTGTCTCTGACTTTGCAATTAAGCAAAATTTCAGATCAATTGGACAGTTAAAATTGTGTCATATATGGATTATAAGATTTGTAGCAGACGAACTTATTTTTTATTTTTTCTAATAATGAAAATTTTTTTTAATTTATAAAATTATTTATTCTATCAATTGAATCATGCATTGTCTCCAACTTTACCAAGTATGCCAAATTTCAGATCGATTGCACAGGTAGAAGTGTGTTAAATATCGATTGTAAGATTTGTAGCAGACAGACAGACAATCAAACAAGAAGTGAAGTTAAGGAAAAGTCTTGCAAGAAAGTTACTGAGCTTATTAATATAATCTTAAACTGAACACAAACGATTTCTTCTAGTTAACGCTATCAAACGAGATGAGACTTAAATATATTATACCTTAGAATAAATAAAAAATTACTGGGCAAATTACAATAGTCTTGAACTGAACATAACCCAGCAGGCATTCGGTGGTTGAATCAACGTTGAATCAACTACGCATTACGACATTGAGATCGGGGTGAAAGAAGGTTTAGAATGAAAATTGATCAATGTTTAAAAATAAATAAAGATTCAACGTACCAATATCGACGTTGTTTCGACGTTGAAATAAGTTATTTTACATCCGTTCCAGTTTTGATCAGATTTCGACGTTGATCGGACGTTTAATTTTGGT